GATTGCCTGGTGTTCCTTGGGGAAGATCCACATCAAAAGGTCTATAGGGGTAAATATGAAGACTTTAATAAGGATCTATGTCTAAAGACAAAATGTTAATTACTCAGCTATTCCTGAAAATAATTACATAACGCTTTGATGGATCTGATTCAGTAAGGGTAAGGGAACTTTTCCTGTTACTTACCAACCTTATTCTAATTTTGAAATGAACATTGTAGTATTTAAAGGAGAGTTTTTCTTTGCACTATTTTGATGCACTTCAGTTTGCTATTATCAGGACTACTTGTGCATGTTGCAACTTATTGAATAAATAAAGGGTATCCAGTGCAATCTATCACTGGCAAAAAAAAAACAATCAAGCTAAATTTCCAACTATAGAATTATATACATACATAATGTCTCTGTGTCAACCGTGAAAGTTTATGCATGTTTAATTATGTTGTAAGTGTTTTGATGAAAACAATTGTAGTTGAAAACAGTAAAAACATTCCAAACGTTCCATTCAATAAAGTGGTTGGAAAGGATGAAGTTCTTTTAACTTCATGCATTCTATGCATGAAGGTAAAAATCTTCTGTGTGCAGCTGCCCCCTCCCAGCCCCCCTAATACTTAACTGAGCCCCATTGTGATCCAGCAATGTTCATGGGAGCTTCAGCTGTCTGGGGACCTACCCTCCTCATTGGCTCCTGCTGCTGTCAATCACAGCCAATGAGTCAATGAGGAGAGAGAGGGGGCCGGGCTGTGCCTCTGATGTGTGTGAATGGACTCAAAGAGCAGCGGCTCAGGAGGGAGCCTGCTTGGGTGCCCCCATAGGAGGGAGGGGCCAGGAGTGCTGCCATGGGACCCAAGAAGAGAAGGATCGAGGCTGCTTTGTGCAATACTACTGCACAGAGCAGGTAAGTATGACATGTTTGTTATTTTTTTTTATTGCCTTTAATATCACTTTAAATAGTGTGTTCATGTTCAAGTGTGCCCATGTAACAATTCTGAGAAGGTAAAAGGAGGCTATTCATAATTTTTGAAAGCCAGTTTGAAAGCCCTTCAGTATATAAAAAAAATACTCCAACTCCTACTTTTTAATTCCGAGGTCAGGTCTTGATTAGTTTTTGGAGTAGAAGATAAAATACACAAAATTGAAAAGTGAATCAGCATTTAACTTTATTAACCACAAGGTCTCAGGCACTTAAAAGTAAAATCATATTACAAATAACACAAATAAATAATAATGAATAGTTATAAATAGTTTAGTACTTAAAAAAGGAAATGAAATTGAAGGTGGACATGGCAAAATTGAACAGAACTGTACATGTACTATATGCAATCAAATCATTTGCACATCTCCTTGTCTTTTAAAAACTAAGATGAAAAAATACTGCTTTTTATTAAAATATTCTAAGATATATATATATATATATATTTTATATATATATTAATAAACTATATACAAACATGTATCTGGCTGTTTCTGCAGTCACATTGTTATTTTGTTAACATCTCCTTGATTCCTAATGCTAATAAAATATTTCACACATTTCAAGGCATCAGAGATCCTTAGGCAAAGTTCATTTAGAAAACTATTGCTCTTGGATAGAATGAAAATCTATACTGGAGGTACAGTTACATAAAATATAGAACATGTTTGATAACTATATTTAACCAAAATAAACAGTGCTAACCTTAAGATATAACAGTGCTAGTAAAAACCAAAAATAAACCTTTATATTTAGCAAAGCCCTTAAAGGAACAATTTATAAATGATTTCTTCAGTGTTAGAAAATGTATTAAATGATATTTAAAGAAGATTTTAACTGCATTACTGTGTAGTGTTTTTTTTTTTCAAATTGATTTAAATTGCGTGTAACAAATAACGCACAAACAACAGAAACAAAAGGTGTGTGTTACTTGTTTTGATGAATCTATAAATGCATGTTCTACAGTTTTGTTTCCCAGGAGAACCTGTCATATTTTCCTGGGATACACCATATTTATTTAAGAAAAAATTTAGCTGATTAGTATGACACTATGACTGTGGTTTAAATCCCTTCTATCTTTCTCTGTTTGCTCCATTTTGGCAGCTGTGTTCACCAGTCTGACAAAATATGCCACTTTTGTTCAAAATTATGTAATTTTTTTTACCAAAAATTACACTTTCAGAGATTAGTTCACTTTTTAAGCCTGTTAGTTGTTTAATGCTTTATAATCGTGACAGAAATAGTTGGCATAGAAGCAAATTGCAGTGCTTTATAAATAGGGCCTTTTGTTTTTAAAAGTGTCCCTGCCTACTAGTGCAAAGAAACATAATAAATTAATGTGAATGAAAAAGACATGGTGAAGGGAACCAACAATAATAAAAAAGAAAAGTACAAAAGAAAAATAAATTAAAAAAAGAGAATACATGACAGAAACATAATAAAATCATAGTTTTTTCTGGAAATTATCTGATGTGTGCATACCATGATGTCGATTTACTAAAAGAGTTGTGAATCTTCTCACAATACATTACGTACATAATTACTTAATTTATCCAATCATGTACAGATGTAAAAAGGAGACGGGACATTGCTTTTCACATGACTGGATGAGTGAAGTGAATATTCACATAATTTATTATGTGAAGATTCCCAACTCCTTTAGTAAATCAGCCTCCAAATCTTGTTTTCCAGGGATGTAACAATAACAAATGTCTACATCTACTGTTTCATAAATGATTCATATCCATTAAAGTAATTGCAAATGCATTAATTAATAAAATAAACAAGTTTATACTTACTTTAGCTGCCCTCTTCTCGGGTCCTTTGCTGGAGCTCCTGGCTCCTCCTCCTCAGTAAGTGCCCCTCTAGAAAAGACTTTTTATGGGAGCACATGTACAGGATCATTCCCAAGCCTCTCTCTCTGTGTGACACTGGTTCCACTCCCTGCTCCCTGGTCACTGGCTTTGACTGACTTCAATGGGATCCAATACCAATGGCAGCAGAAAAGATCATAAAAGCATCCCCTGTTGCCCTGTACTATGTTGAGTTAATGCATCTTTTGAACACATTGCATAGAAAAAAACCCAGCACAGCTTAAGATAAGCCTCTAGTCAAAATGTGGTCCTCTAAAATACTGCCTATCTGCTTAAATCCATAAAATGCAGCATAAGCCTTTACATGTGTTTGTTGGCTGAATAAACCTCTGTTCTGGGCTCTCAAACTTCCAAATTACATGACCAAAATACATTATTGACATCCTCATGTGATATATGGATACTGGAGGGGTGGATAACACACTGTCTGAACTCCCATTCACTTACCAGTAAAAATCAAATGGCTAAATGTCTGGACTGTCTTGTGGCCACAGAGCAGTACTTCTGTATTCATGTCTCTTATTTTGACTATAGTTCTGCTTTAACAAAAACCCCACCACTGAGACCTGCTCTACTTCCAAGCAATAACACCAAAGTATACTTTACCATAAATGTGTGACACATATCTGAACCATATACATTACTTTATTCAGAATAATATGGTAAATGTAATTACTGCCTGCATTATACATTTCATCTGGCCATACGTGAAATTAAATCCAGCTGATTCAGCAGGGATCGGCTGAATTTCGATCCATGTATGGGCAGGCTGGTTGTATACAACTATAAACTGACTTGACAACACTGATCATTGTATTCTGATGGCTGAGAAAACTCCCCACTGTCAAAATACAATACCACAGAGGGAGGGATTCCCCCATAAACATCAAATTTGTGGATGAGGGAATCAAGGCATTTTCTTTCTTTGGTTGAAAAAAAAAAAAAAAGAAAAAAATGCATAATGTATGGGCTGCCTAAGGCACAGCACGTTTATTCTTCTGCTAAACCACTTGTGCTTGCTGCTGAGCATTTCAGCAATCACATTATATTCTATAGTGATGCCTGAGCTTCTTATCATTCAAATAGCTGAAGTGGCCCACATCAATTTGCCCTGTGCCACTCCACCAAGTTAGTAAATGCATACCATAAAAGTGAAATACTACAAAATACAAATCTTTGTAATGTAATTGTTTATATAAATATTCTAACTCATATCTCCCTGAATTTTATAGCTTCATCTACGAAGACGACGTATGTCAGCTATAGTAATCATGCAACCTGAACCAAGAAGCTTTTTACCACACTATCGAACACCAAATTTTGCAAGATGTTTTCCGTTCTACAGTCTAAATGGTTTCAGAAGTTCAAATAAACAAAAAAGGACATAATTTATGGAAAATGCCTGAATTTATTTTTTTGAAAATGAAAGTGTCAAAGTATTTTAAAAGCACATGAAAGTTAAAGATATACTATTGTGCACTAGAAGTGGTATCAGAACAAATGCTATCATTCACAGATATTGAAACTGCATTTTATGGAAAAAAAAAAAAATCTGCCATATGTTACACCATAATTGTAAGTACTTTTTTGTGACTTGTGAGAAACTTCATTCCTGTCTTCTCTTGTTCTCTCTGTATAGGAGATGAGTTTGTGCATTGTATTGGCTGATTGACATGAAGCCCTGGGTTGTGTTCAATAAATGCAATGGTTTACGCATGCACATTTTTTTATACAAAAGATATTTCTAATAATAAAGGAATGTTTTGCAAATGGTGAGGCTTGTTTTCTTGCTGTGTTTCATATATTTATGTCAAATATTATGACTTTACATGCACAGGAATGTATTTACTAAATCTGCCTAAGTCCGAAATGTAGTATAAGCAACTAAGGAGTATGTTTATTTGAAACCATGTTTAACAGCTTTTATTCACCCAACGGTCTTGTAATGCTAAACACTAGACAGATATTAAATACACAAATAAACACGGCTCTGCAATCATTAATGCATTAATTTAATACAAGCAGTGTAAATATTTGAATTTGCCATGGAATCATCCGCTATCATTCCCTTTATAGCAGGGCTGCAATGCAAAAGAAATCAGCAGCACAAGGAACCCACCAATTCATGTGCTCTCAAGAAGCATGCTGATAGGAAGATTAGGCAGAGTATCGTAAAGATATGCTCACCTCTGTTATGCTTCTTCATTCACTGTTTAGTCACAGGCTGTGATGGGTTCAGAACAGGGGCGGACTGACAACTCATGGGGCCCCCGGGCAATAGGGGATCATGGGACCCCTGTGTCCTTGCCCACACTCAAAGCACATCCAAAAAAGCTGATAAAAGGTACAAGGGGCATTTCATGGGGCTCCCTACTGGCAGTGCCCGAGTGCTCGAATGGTCAGTCCGCCCCTGGTTCAGAATGACCCAAATAGGCTCGCAGGAAGTGGGTTGAATGATGCAGACTAACAGACTGGGGACATCTAATGACAGAACACCACTGCAATGGAAGTCTTTGAACTGAAGCTGAATATTTTGTCATTTTATCTTTTAATGCTTTGCATGCCACGGACATATGTCATACATTAGCAGCATAGTGTTTTACACACACTCTGAGTTCTCCATGTTGGCTGTCCATGGACCTCTGCTATTGCAGCTCCACTTTTTACCTGTGGGCCCAAGAACCCCCATGGTGGTAGAGGGGAAAAAGACCAGGAATCATCCATTTTCTGATCTTTCCTAGATAAAATGAACTTCTGATCACTTCTGGGTTTGGCTTTTGATCTACTATGTGATAAAATAAAGGTTAAGAGAGAAAAAATGCAAAAAAAAATTACAGTGAAGTACTTTTAAAATTCCCCCTAAAAATGTTAAGTCTGTCCTGCCCCAATGTACTTACACATGCAAACACACACGTCAGGTACGCTTATGTACGAAAACTGCAATTGCACTAGATATGTTACATAATGACATGCATTTCAGAGTGAGGGCAGTAATTCCAGGAACATTATTCATGGTTAACTCCAAACTGATGACCTCTAGGTGCTTTTACAGTGCTGCCTATGGAGAATTTGGAGTACTGAATTTGTTGCTGTTTCATGGGCATGCAAAATTTGAAGGCTTGACATATTTGGTATCAATTTACTCATCTTTTAAATTTTACCAAAAATGACTAATATTTTATGTTTTTGTGCCATAAAAATTAACCTAAAGTGGTTGTAAAGCTTAATTTTTTTTTTTAAAGAATAAACATGTTATATTGCCCTGCTCTTTGTAATGGTTTTCCTCCTCTTCTCAGGTCCCCCACCGGTACTACAGGTCCCCCACTGGCACTACTGGCTGCTCCTCTACATCTAATGCCCCCATAGGATGCCATTTCATAGGGGGGCACTCATGCGTACTTGCTCCTGACCCCCGCTGCCTATGTTCATAGACACAAGCAGCAGGGTGTGGGCCCGCCCCCAACTTCCTCATCACAGAGTTTCATTGACAGCAGTGGCTATCAATCTGCCCAGTGAGGAGGGACAGAGCCAGGAGAGCGACTGTTCTCATGCACAGCACTGGGTCACGATGAGGCTCAGGTAAGTATGGGGGGGGGGGGCTGGAAGGATACTGGACACAATTGGTTTTTTACCTTAAACCTTACTAAGGAAAGGAGGCCTCACTGCTAGAATCCTTAATAGCTATAAAAAGACACTTATAATTGAAACAACCTTTTTGGATGCACTAACCTTTAAAGATTGTGTTGCTTTATTTTCCTTTATTTTTTTACCCTGGACCCCGTTTGGGTTAACTCAGTAATAGGGGATGGGGGGGGGCATTGTAAAGTCTATTGCGATGAGTCGCAAGACTTTGTAATCAACCCTCTACAGGCTTTAACTTATGGACTATTTAGTGCAGCTGTAGATGTACTGTATAGATACGTTAATTGACAGACTCATATTCTAGTTCTAATTTACATTAAATCAATCAATTGATAACAGGATAGGCTGGGCTTATACAAAAGAGTATGACTACTCACGTGTCTCTAAAGTTAGCCCTGCATGTTTCTACTCCATTACAAAGGTCTTTGAGAAAATTATACATTCATAATGTATTGTAGCTACATAAAAGTGTGAGGTTAGCTAGAGACTGATAATAATTTCCTATGCAACGCGAGTAAAATTTGTAGTCACTGTACACATGACCTGTATTCAAATCCCCTTCATTAGATCGATGTTTCTGCAAAATCTGCAGTGCCTCGAAATAATGAAAGGCAAATGAACAAACTGGGCATATTACTTAACCCAATGACCCTTTTTGTTGCAGGCGAAGAACGTTCTATTTCTGAGACATATGGGGTGTTTAAAAAAGCTAATGTGTTATTATTAAGTTTTCAATTAATGCATAATGGACCCATTTATTTCAATTGAACACATTGGCACAGTTTACTTCTTGTTACTATAATCTTACTATGAGCAAATCGTTTCTTCAGAAGATGCACTGAAATTAATAGAAATGTTAACAATATGTGCAGTGAACAATTATAGTAAGAAGAGTTAGTAAAAAAGGTACATTAAGCAGATAATGACATATTTATTTAAAGCATAAGAACAAGCTGCTTTATAAGAGCATATACCTGACATTGTCTTATCTACTGCTGTCCTGTTGCTAGGTAAGTAATTAAGTCTACAGAGGAGGTTTTGCATTAAAGTTGAAAGTGGTTATAAAGGCTAAAGGCACAATTGGCTCCTGCTGCCAAGTCATGAGAGGAGGGAGCTGGGGGCTGAGCAGCGCTGTGTGTGTCAATAGATACCCACACACAGCCCTGCTTGGGACCAAGCCTGCACGTGGGGCACACAAAGAAGAGGAGAAGTCAGGAGAACTGGTGGGGGACAACAGAAGAGAAGGTTCAGGGCTGCTCTGTGCAATACTATTGCACACAGCAGGTAATTGTAACATGTTTGTTATTTGAAAAAAAAAAAAACATAATTTACCATACTTAAGAATAGGGATTATTTTTGTTGTGTTGTGTTTGTTTTCTGCAATTGAAATACTGTTCACTTTTTAAACAAAACGTTTACGTTACCTGTGCCTAGGTCATGCTGTGGACCACTTGAGTAGTCTTCAGTAAACCAGAAATAGGTACAATTTTATTTTTGTTCTTTTTACAAAGTCCTTTGAAATGTCTGTTGGTTTGACCATAATGTCTTTTAAAAGAATTTTATTATACAACATGGAACAATTGAGTACTGTCCGTGATACTTTTTTTATTTGCACTAACATACAATTTTGAGGACAAGCTTTCGGGGAATGTCCCCTTCTTCAGGTCTAAGCAGTACTGAAACAAAGATTTAGCAGAATGTTGGAAGAGATGTAGGGAATGGGAAAAAAAAAACAAAAAAACAAAAAAAAAACAGAGATAAGATACAGCAAAAGCAAAGTCTGGGGGGGGACAACACTAGCAGAGGCAGTTATGCTTGAGCCGATAGTCATAAAACTGTTGGATAATGATTGAGGAATCCCATGTCCAAATTAAGGCCGTTATCTCTTGTGCCAAATAGAATTATCATTCTTCGTTCAAAAGTTTTTCTTTCCTGAATGGATTTGAAATTTCCTTTAAGAACTAAAATATTGAGGTCTCCCAAATTGTGGTCTGGTTGTGCAAAATGGTGTAAAGGTCATCTTTATGTTCCTTGATGAAATGTCTGTGCAAATTCATCCTTGTTTGCAACTTCTGTCCTGTTTCGCCAAAATAAGATCCTTTGCTACATTTTCTGCACTGGATAAGGTACACAACATTAGGTGCAGCTGTATGAGCCGGAGATATTGAAGATCCCTTTTGAGTGTCTGACACTTTTTGATGGATTGATTTGGTTGCACAGTTTGCAGCGTTTCTTATTGCAGGGTTTGCTTCCATTATTTGTGACATCATGATCAGAAGTAAGTTTCCTACTAATTAGTTCATTTCTGAGGTTGGGGGGTTGTCTGAAGGCCAGTATTGGGGGTTGCTGGAATATTTCTTTCAGAATTCCATCCTCTGTTATGATGGGTTGTACATTTTTGATTATTTTTCTTATTCCTTCTAGTGCTGGGTTGTATGTGGTTACTAGAGGTACACGGTTGTTTGTTTTTTTTCTCCTTGTACTGAAGTAGATTTTCTCTTTGGGTTCTCAAGGCTGTGTTTATGCTGGTATTGATAGTTTGGTCCTTGTAACTTTTCTTATAGAAGTCTGCTAGTGTCCCGAGATGTTTACCTCTGACTCTTGGGTCAGAACATATTCGATGGTATCTAATGGCCTGACTGTGTATGATGGCACGTTTCGTGTGTTGGGGGTGGAAGCTAGAACTGTGGAGGTAGTTGCATCTGTCAGTAGGTTTCCTGTATATTGAGGTGTGAAGTGTATCATCTCTGATGTACACTGTGGTGTCTAGGAAGTTGACGTGTGTGTTTGAGTATTCCATTTTTAGTTTGATTGATGGATGAAAAGTGTTGATCAATGAGTAAAATTGTTTTAGGTATTCTTCACCTTCTGTCCATATGATGAATCCCCCCCCTCCCAGACTTTGCTTTTGCTGTATCTTATCTCGGGTTTTTTTTTTTGCTTTTTTGTTTTTTGTTTTTTTTTTTTTTTTCCCATCCCCTACATCTCTTCCAACATTCTGCTAAAACTTTGTTTCAGTACTGCTTAGACCTGAAGAAGGGAACATTCCCCGAAAGCTTGTCCTAAAAATTGTATGTTATTGCAAATAAAAAAAAGTATCACGGACAGTACTCAATTGTTCCTGTCGCAAATGCACTAATACGGCTACAATCACCTCAATTATACAACATGGAAAACCAAAGATTGTGTAGCAATGAGACCAAACCCATTCCTGATGTGGTTGGACATAAATACCTGTTTTAATTACCTCCTTTTCAAGATGATCATTCTAGAGGTTCACATAATTGTAATTCTCCATAGGTGACTTTTTATTATCAAACACATGGCACTATTAAATAATGTTTGTTGTCTTCAGGCAGCTTTGTTTGAAGACACTTATCTACATTCCAGAAGCTTCCTTTGTTTTTATGCATTGTTCATATTTTTGAACAATAGGTAACAGTTTTTGTGGCAGTCCATATGTGTACGTCTTTGTCAGCAGGAAATGATAGATCTTTGGTGGTTAGATTATTATGCCCAGCTGTTTTAAAACATATACAATACCTGAAAACTGACAAAAGCAATAACAGAAGTTACATTGGCAGCAATCAAAATCCCGACTGACATACTATAGTATTTGCATAGCTTAAATATTGGTGAAGTACCTCCTCAATACTAACAGCAAAGAAAAGGGGCTCTGGAAGTTAACAAGAACTTGGTCAGGAAACAGAAAGTCACACTGGGCACCATGAAGGAACATGCATTATATAGAAATGTGGAGTGAAAGGTGAGCATTTTGTATGAAGTCTAATATAATCACATACATTGCTGTTCTTCTTTCTTTGGAATATTACATTCGATCTGTATTGACCTGATTTCTAAAGTATACAAATGAACCTACATTTTACATAAACTGTACTTTACTGCA